AACAAAACTGTCTTTTAAAAAAGGTAAATAAGGAACCAAAGAGATAGTACAGTGGGTAGACTGCATGCATTGCACATGAGTGACCTGAGTTCAGTCCCTCGAGCCTCATATGGCTCTGCAAGCACGACCTGATGTGGACCCTGAGCACAGAGCCAGGAGTGAGCCCTGAGCACAGCCAGGTGTATTCCCTTCCAAATAAAAACTCCAATAAGAAAAGGAAAAAGGAATTTAATTAAATTTTCAAACAAAGTCTTACAGACTTTACTATAGGATCCCTTCATAAGGATTTCTACCAAGACACAGCAAGGAGGAAAGGATACGAGAAAAACCATGCTTTATTACAGGTATTAAATTTTCTATAATAATATCCTCTTTTTTTTTGACCTGCTCCGTTTCCGACCTGGGTCAGTTCACCCATAGTTAGACAACCTGGTGGTCCTCCGCTCCCAGAGGGTTACCATATTGATGCTGAACTTGGTGCAGACACCTGATCAGCATAGCACACTACTGCCCAGAACTTTGGGCTGGAGCGATAGCATAGTGGGGAGGGCCTTGACCTTGCAGGCGGCCGACCTGATCAACCCAGCTTCAATTTTTCCACCCCTCTCGGAGAGCCAGGCAAGCTACAGAGAGTATTTCTCCCACACGACTAAACCTGGCAAGCTCCCCGGGACATATTCAATATGCCAAACACAGTAACAAGTGTCACAATGGAGACGTTATTGGGCTCCTCTTGTGCAAATCGATAAACAACCATGACACGACAGTGACAGTGAATATCCTCTTAATTAAAATTTTTTTTCTGGACAAAAACTAGGGCATTTTTCTGCCCATGATTTTGCTGGTTCAGAGATAACGTGATCACTTATTTCATATACTAGTTATTAAATAATTGTCTCAAATTACTAAGCATTCTGTTATTTACATAATGTTGTAGTGGCTAAAATAAAAAGAATGCTTCAATTAAAACAATAAAAATAAAACTCATATTCCACAGTATAAAAACACAAATGAATCCATCTGTAAATCAGTTAACTTATTTTGATATTTAGTATTTTAATAAAATATCAAAATAATATTCCTTAGTAGCACTGTAGCACTGTCGTCTTATTGTTCATCAATTTGTTGGAGCGGGCACCAGTAATGTTTCCATTGTGAGATTTGTTGTTACTGTTTTTGGCATATTGAATACATGATGGGGAGCTTGCCAAGCTCTGCTGTGCAGGGTGGCGGGGGGTGGGAGGGTGGGGGTACTTTCAGTAGCTTGTCAGGCTCTCCGAGAGGGATGGAGAAATCTAATCCGGGTCAACCACTTGCAAGTCAGACACCCTAGCTGCTGTGCTATAGCTCCAGTCCAGTGCTCAGTAGCGTACATTAAAAAGTTGAACCTGTAGTGATCGTAAGTTTTCTTCCTTCAAGAGAATGAACTTTAAATTTCCAGAAAGGAGGAGGATAATGATGGGAGAGGCTGTGTTATTTCTAGACAAAAAGAAGATTCTGAAATGAACAAACATCACGGACTTGGGCAAGTTAAATAACCATTTGCAGTCTGTACTTTTAAAAAAATATGTGGAATGAGAAAATTTGACCATATGCTCTTAAAATTGTTCTCTGAATACAAATACAATAATGATATGCTGGAAAAATCTAGGCAAGTTTGATTTCTAATCCCCTTCTTGTGAAGGAGTCAGTATTAGCAGTAGTTCTGGAAGGTGAGAAGCAAATAATAGGGCAAGAAAGAAGAGAGATGAGGCCAAATGTGGTGAGTTAAACTAAGTGATCTATAAATAATAATAATTTCAGAGACCCCTCTTTATATACTAAAACTATATAAAGGATGTGTATAATATAAGAGATATGATCCAATTTGAAAGGAACTTATAGCTGTAAAGTGAGGACAAAAGATTCAGAGAGAAGGGCAGTGGTTCAACATTACTCCTCTATGAAAGGAAACTAGATTAATTTGTTTATCTAGCTGAGCAGGCTGGGTGTGGCCCAATTGAAATAATGTGAGGAAATAAAGCAAACACAAATTCAATACATGAATTTAGGCAAGCAGCCTATTTTGTCAGAATGACTTAGTGATGGAAAATAGTTATAAGTGAAGCATGCATATTCATGGAATCACTTACCATCCACCAATGCGCTCTCTGCCTCTTTTAAAAAATCATTATTTTTAAAATTTTTTCTGGAGGATAACACCTGTTAGTGTTCAGGGCTTACTCCTAGTTTTGCGCTTTTGGGGTTAGCTCCTGGTCAGCTTTGGGGACCACGTGGGGTGCCACATATAGAACCCAGGCTGACTGTGTGCCTGTAATAAAGTACCCTACCTGCAGTATTAGCAGTCAGTCCAGCCCAGATTCAGCTGCTTTACTCGCTTCCCAGACATTTTATTTTATAAAATGTTTTGTCTCTTTGGGCTGGAGCGATAGCACAGTGGGTAGGGCATTTGCCTTGCACATGACCGACCCGATTTTGATTCCCAGCATCCCATATGGTCCCCTGAGCACTGCCAGGGATAATTTCTGAGTGCAGAGCCAGGAGTAACCCCTGTGCATAGCCAGGTGTGACCCAAAATGCAAAAAAAAATTGTCTTTTTAAGACATTTTATGAATAGTTTCTTTAACACAATTGTCATGTTTAGGAAGACTAACATCTACATTCAAATGATGTTGCCATATATAGGAAATCCCTGATAATAAATGTATAGAGATGACTTTTATGCATGATTCAAAGCAGATTACAAGACCATATACTGGGATCTGATGAACCCATAGTAGTTAGACATATTAGGATTATGTAATGATGTTCTTAACCCCCAAAACATATATAGGAAAGAACAGAAATGATTCCTTTTCACACACTCCAAGGAATAATAAGGTATCCTATCCATGATTCAGGGGATAGAACTGCTGCCATTCATGTCCCACCACATGTCACTCAGAAATGAAACACATCTTTGGATTTAGGTCATACATTTAATGGAAACCACTCAAGAGGCAGAGCCTCTCCAGAGAATGGACAATTGTTGTGCCCCTAATTCATTTTCCAATAATGGCCTGAAGAGATTGTTCAGGAATGACCTAATTACAGCAGTAGATGGAAGCCCTTGCTCCTCTCCTGATCAGACACTAACCAAGCCAGCTCCATAGTTCCAGCATTCTTTCCTGATTTGATTCTAAACTCCTCAGCCCTAAATTTCCATCTATTCCCACAGTGTATACATTCTAGCAAGATTCTGATAATGTGACTAATTATAATTGTTTGCTAATGAAAATACAGGCAAAATGGTAGGCACTTTACACATACTATTACTATTATTTATTGTGGGTTGTAAATGTTTCTATCTTCTCACCCAGAAGGCAGTGCATATTCTCTTCCGTGCTCTCCTTCAAATTCCCTCATTTTCAAAGAAAGAGGGAAAAATAGCCTTCTATCCAATCTCTCTCAGATTCATACTCTCCTTCATGCACTGAATTCAACTTGAGAGTCAAGGATAGCTACAGAGGCTCCTGGGTGGGTAGAGTTTATCTATATTCAGGAGCTAAGCCATCTTTAGGAAGGTGCTTGTGGGATCAAGGCACCAGATGCTTGGTGCAACCTTAGTAGTAATAAAGCTAATGCAGATATTTTTCAACCTTTCTTTGAGTTTTTGCCTTTTCAATCAGTTCTGAGCACAGATTGAGGATGAAATCACAGTCATTACTTAACACTTGAAATCCTGACTGATGGGAGGTTCCTGTCAAGGTTACATTCTTTCCAAACTATTTGCAGTCAGAAGTAGGAAGAAGGGGACATAAGAAGCCAGCTAATCCTGCCCCATGCTGAGCACCTCTCTCATGGCTAAGAATCTTCTTTCTTAGGAGAGAAATTCAGATGAAAGCTTTTTCTAGAAAGTTGTCCTTTCTCTGGTTTTAATGACTTCCAGATCTATATCCTGCTTCCTTCCCCAATATTCATCATAGTCTTCCCACCCCATATAAATTTCTAAAACATCTTCGTTATCTTGACTCCTTCTTCCCAGAGGACTCAAACTTGACATTGTCAGTATATTCTCCATTTACAGTGGATGAAGTGAGGTTCCCACTTCATCCACACAAGCAAAAGACATAAATATGTTCTTTTAGAAATATATGCATACACTTAAGTGAGAGGGTCACTTTCAAAATGCCCAATTTACATTTTAAAGGTAAATATGAATAGATAGCACAGCTGTAGGGCGTTTGCCTTGCACGCAGCCAACATGGCCGACTCGAGTTCTATTCCTCCGCCCCTCTCGGAGAGCCCGGCAAGCTACCGAGAGTATCTCGCCCACACAGCAGAGCCTGGCAAGCTACCCATGATGTATTCGATATGCCAAACACAGTAATAGCAAAAATCTCCAATGGAGACGTTACTGGGCCCACTTGAGCAAATCGATGAACAACGGGAGGACAGTGGTACAGTGATAAAAGAGAAACAGAGACATTTCTTCATAAAATGAAGCCAAATTGGAACTGTTCATTCAATACCTAAATGCAATGATAAGTGGGCTTCTAGAAAGTGGAAGAGGACACTGAAGTCAGAAAACATTTCCTCTCATTGCATTTGGACTTACAATAGGTCCATGAAGTAAAAAAAAAACACCAAATTTCATAATACCTGACTTCTAAGAACTGACCACAACTTTTCAATAAAAGTAAAACCACAAACAAACTAAAACAAGCAAACAAACAAAAAACCCCATCACACTGAGAAAATGATTTTTTAAAATTCAGTTTTTCTTATAAAATGTAAGCCCAAGTATTTTTGTCCTTATGTTCTGGGATGAGTTTTCAAACAAGATCAGGTATGTTCAGGGTGGTATGGCCATGAGTTTTCAAGGTTAAGAAAAGATGAATAACTGCTTTGTAAATTTTAAACTCTGAAAACAATCTGAGCATAAAAGCATATGCAAAATTTAAAAACAAAAACAAAGGTTTTTATTTTCCTTTTTTAGAGAATTTAAATATAGGACTTACCCTCACTAGATCCCTTGGAACATTCTGGTTTCTTTGCTTTGCTCTTCTTGTGGGGTGGTGAAAGGCCTTTTGGCTCTGCACCCTCTGGAAGTAAAAAGATTGAATACACTGAATATTTACCTGTAGAGTTCAAACTTACTCTGAAGTTTAAAGATGTATGCTTCTGAGAAAATCCAGACATACAGTGAAATTTATTTGCAGATTTATCAGTCATCACTGTGAAACTAAATGTTAGCAATACTGTATATTTTTTTATGAGCACAAACTTAAGCTTAACACCTGAAATAAAACTTTCTTGGTAGTTATTATTAAAAATTCTATTTATTCAAATGTAAAAGATTGGGACATTTTTTTAACTAAAAAAATCTCCCCATAAGGCAATCCCAAATTATTTACAGTTTTTTTTTTCTTGAGGAAAGTTTGACTTAAAATTTTGTAGATTGATAATTGTTATTATGCAATTTCACCTTCAAAATGAGAGTACTGAGCTATAATATCATCTCATTTTGATTTAAAACTTCATGTATTAATTAACAATTGTTATTGTGTGATCTTGTTTTCAAAGCAGAGTTAGATGAACTGCAATAGTATCTCATTTTAGGAGTAACTGGGGCTTAAACTGATCTTCCTACTATTTCTCAGACTTCTTTGGTAATTCAGATTTTAAATAGACTCTATATACTTCCCATTAAAATATTGTCCAATCTACTATTATTAATGTCTTATCCATGACAAGTCTATCTGGGGTGGGTAGGGGGAATTACTTAAATTCTGAAGACCCTTAGAACCATTCCTGTAACCAGCCCTGGTCTCCCAGCAAGCTCTTCAACTGCTTTTGTGGCTGGCATCTCATTTTGTATTGTTTCCTTTTCCAGATTGCGGTAGGGGGTTCGCCTTACAAGCGGCCAACATGGCCGACCCGAGTTCGATTCCTCTGCCCCTCTCGGAGAGCCTGGCAAGCTAACCGAGAGTATTTGATATGCCAAACACAGTAACAACAAAGTCTCCAATGGAGACGTTACTGGGCCTGCTCGAGCAAATCGACGATCAACGGAAGGGCCTTTACCTTTACCTTACTCTATACCCTTTACTATACCCCATCCCACACCCCAAATCTGAACTTGGTGGGGTTTTGAAAGACTTATGAAATTCAACAATGAACTCTCTTTTCCCCCAGATTCTATTTATTTAATGTATTCATTCATTTTGGTTTGGGGGCTACATGGAGCGGTCCTTAGGGCTTACTCCTGGCTCTGTGCTCAGAGATCATTCCTGGAAGTGCTCAGAGGACCATATGCGATGGCAGGATTGAACCTTCATCAGTAGATTACAAGCAGTAAATTACAGCCTTATCTGCTATCCTATCACTTAAGTCCCACCTGGGCTTTTAATCAGTTGGAAGCACAGATACCTTTTTGCTGGATGCCAACAGTCTTTGTGAGATAGCTGTATCTCTCAGTCTAAGGTCCCATTGCTATGACAGAAGACCCCAGTTGTCCATGTCCACATGACCTTTTCTACATAGTCCTCTCTGTCTAAGTGGTCGGTACAAGAATTTAATTGTGTCCATCTCTTCTCAACCCCAGTGATTTACTCTCACTCAACCCTCATCAAGCGTTTCAAATTTATGTAAATAATTTCATTAGGCATTTCAAACTACAGAGTCAGTCCAATATTCTCCATGTCAGCAAAACTGTTATATCACTGGTATTCCAACATCTCATGAAATTTAAATCAAAAACTGAAGTGGCAGTTTTAATACTTCATTTAATTTTCCTATAACTATATTCTATTAGCTGATAGAATGCACTAGACTATATCCAATGTTCACCCTCTGTGACTATTGCAATCACCATTTCTGTACAAATCTTCAGCATATCTTATCTGGGTAAATACAATAACCTTCTAATTTCAAACTTGCCCATTTCTAATCTCTCCACAATCTATATCCCATGTAGCAACCAGAAATGTCTTTTGAAACAAATTAATCATGTCTTGTATGCTTAAAAATCTTTATTCTTAGAATTTAAATTCCATGATACAGGTTATTGTATCTTGGGTAATTTCTGCTATGTGAGCCTAATTATGGCACTATTCTTTTTTCTTCGTATTTCTGCACACCCATTGTGTTCATCAATCCCTACTCTGCTGGCACCCGCTGTTCTTCTTCCGCCATGTGTACTGAAATGTTTATTAAACTTCTCACCCCTTGAATCTCAGATCAAACTTGACCCCTAAGAAAGGCCTTCCCTGACTATCTAGTCAAAAAGGGTCCCTGTGGGGACTGTAATCTTTTCACTTGACACATCAATCATATTATCTGAAGTGATTTTGCTTTTCTTGTTTCTTTTTTGTTTGTTTTTGAGCCATTCCTGGCTGTGCTCAAGGATGACTCCTAGATCTGTGCTCAGGGATGTGCCTTGATGCTGCTCGCGGGACACATGTGATTTGAGGGATCAAACTGAGTATTGGACTTTACAAGACAAGTGCTTTGCTTCTGAACTATCTCTCAGCCTCAAGCCTGGTTCTTTATTGTGTGTCTCCTTTATCCACATCCAAGAATGTAAGCTCCGTAAGAAAAGGACATTTATCTTTCCTAATCATACTGAGTCTCTGTACTTAACAGTGCTTTAAGACTTTAATTTCAAATGCTATTTTAGTTCTTCTTCACTCAGGCCTTCCTTTAAGGCCAAGATATAACAGGGCCTGTGCCTAATTTTTACCTCTCAGCAGATGCTGCTGTGTGCCAGAATTATAAAATTACACTATCAAGTGGTGATGACTCATTTTTCTTTTATATTTATTAAATAGGGAACAGAAACATTCATATGATAGATGTGCTATTTAAAAATGTTGGCATTATGGACTGCAGAGGTTTTAGGACACTAAGTTGGTTTTCTGTGGTTGCAAGTCAGTCACCACTAAGGTCATTGCCACGGCCAGGGAGAAAAATTTTTGCCAACGACTACATTAGCAATTCACCCAACTCTGTCACCAGGTGTGAGATGGATGTTGACCCTTTGGAATGGGTTCAGCAAAACCAGAAATGAGATGCTTAGAACAGCTCACTGCTCACAGATGCTGGGCTCAAAGGGATTCATAAAATGGACAAAACAACATTTACAATCTTACTTGGAGAAAAATCTAAAGCTTTCACACTCCCGAAGTGCATGCTGTGCAACTGGGAACAAGAGGGCATGTTCTATGCTGAGAATTCAACTGTAAGCCAGAATTTCCTGAAAGGGAGGTTTTAATATTTGATTTAATTCTTGATATCCCAGCTGAATGAGAATTCTTGGTGAACTGATGAGATTGACTAAGACATCTATTTGCTCACATTTTGAGTAGTCACCCAGACAAAAATGAAATTTTATTACTTTTTAGTCATGAGGCTTTGATTTGTCAAATGGATAAAATAACCAATAATAGCCAGAACTTGAAATAACACAAATACCTAAAAATAAATAACTAGATAAATTGTATCATATATAAGGCACAATTTATCTAGCTATATATACCTACAGGTATATATAGATATAGATATATCTAGCACTATCTATCTAGGCTCTGGGGTGATAGCGCAGCAGGTAGGGTGTTTGCCTTGCATGCGGCCGACCTGGGTTCGATTTCTCCACCCCTCTCGGAGAGCCCGGCAAGCTACCAAGAGTATCCCGCCCTCACAGCAGAACCTGACAAGCTTCCCGTGGCATATTTGATATGCCAAAAACAGTAACAAGAAGTCTCACAATGGAGACGATACTGGTGCCTGCTCGAGCAAAGCGATGAACAACGGGAGGGCAGTTCTACAGTGCAATTTATCTAGACAAATTGTGCCACATATAACTAGTTATTTATATATAGCACTTTAGCACTGTCCTCCCGTTGTTCATCGATTTTCTTGAGCGGGCCAGTAACGTCTCCTTTGTGAGACTTCTTGTTACTGTTTTTGGCATATTGAATACATCATGGGTAGCTTACTAGGCTTTGCCATGGGGGGGAATACTCTTGATAGCTTGCCGGGTTCTCGGAGAGGGGCGGAGGAATCGAACCCAGGTTGGCTGCACGCAAGGCAAATGCCCTACCCACTGTGCTATTGCTCTGGCCCATTTATATATAAAACTTGATTTTTATACATATGTTATGGAATACTACTTAGCCATAAAAAGATAAAATCATTAAATTTGTTGCCATGTGAATGGAACTAGAGGATTTTATTCTGAATAAAGTTAAGCAAAATATATTAAGGATGATATATTAAGGATATATTTACAATGATATATCTCATGTATAAAGAAACATAGACAGGAAACAATATTCTATGTTGCCTCTGTTTCTATCAGAGAGTAGAAACCTGGAGATTTTCCATGAGTAGAACTTTGTTCCCTGAAGAAGTCAACTAAATCCCTGACTCTGATATGGCTGAAGTGCCATTGGTAGCAGCTGATTTTCTGTCTCTTCTTGGTCCATTTGGAGCCCCTTTTCACACTATATCATGTTGGAAATAGAAAATCATGGGAATCAATTGCTATGTTATGGTTAAGGAAACTAATTTAGGACTTATAAAGAATTCCAGGCAGTCTTTCTATTGTGAAAGCAGAGCATAACCTTGAGAAAGACTCTTTCTTATATTAACTGAGATGTGACTGCCTCTACTTAATATTTATGTATAGAGACAGGAGAATGTGCCTGAAGAAGGTGAGTTTTGAAGCTGGAAATGCATGGATGCAACTCTGGCTCTGTTATTTAAGCAAAAACTAATTTATATTTAGGGTCAAATAATAACCATCTTCGTCTCCAGTTTTGTTGAGTTCTTGTATGTTAGTACATGGTGTACACTCAATTAAAGTTGGGTTCAGAAAATGGAATGGCGTAACCAAGTGAAGCTAACATACATTAGCTGCTTCTATCTATCCCTTCTCTACTTTCACAATTATTGTTCTTGTGTTTTGATACTTTACAATACCATGTTTTGTGTATTTACACAACAAAAAATCTAAAAAGTCTTTCAATCAAGGGTCTTCCCACCCAGAAATTAAGTTTGTCAGCACCTCCCTGATTTTCGATATTCCAATTATTTACCGTTACTTACTAGCACTGATTGGGCGTGTAGCCATTTATTATATTCTGTGTTTTAGAAATTTCTTCAGCTTACCTACTTACATGAGAAAATAGATGATGCTGAACAGAGCATAGGCAGCAGGTAATAATCTTGGAAGGCTGGTCAGACTCATCTTAGAAACTAACACATCTAAGTGTGAGATCTGAACAGAAGCTGGCTGCCCACCAACGTCTGGCAAGACCAGCTGGCATACCATGGAACCATCCTGCACAGAAATCCCCCATGATTTTAGCACTCGGATATTAGGAAATGGAGATCATAGCACATGCCCATTTGACTAAGTGACTTAGCATCCTTGGGTCACTGAACACGACTTCAACAGCTGTGTCCAGCTGCTAAAGATAACACCTACATTAGACATGGAGTGGCTAGAATCAGAAATGATGACACAATTAATGTCTTCAAATATCGAGTTTTGACTCCTACCTTCTGGGTTCTATATTAGCAGTAACAATAATTATCTGTTTTTTTAAAAGCATCACTCAGTGGTTTGGCTAGCCTGCAACATATTAAGAAACCAAATCCTTTTACCTAGAAATGTGTACTTATGGCACTTAGGCAAATGACCTTAGTGAGATATGGTCCTTAATTTAGAGTACTGAAGGTGTTGTGCTTTCCAAGGCTGAAGAATAATTTCAGGATGCTTTTGTGAGCTTTATAATAAAAATAGCGAACATTAATAACAAAATTTTGGATGCTGGTCCAAAAACAGGGTAGTCATGTAAAGATGACATACATTTCTCTTAAATAATGAGACTTCCTCCATAAGCATAGAAATTAAAATTTTATCCTGGGCTTTTCTATAAAAAGTATGAGTCTCTTCCTTAGGTTGAATTTTTGTTCATCGTGGGTCATACCCAACAGTGTTCAGTGCTACTCCTTCCTCTGTCTCCCAGAGTTTCTCCTAGTTGTATTGAGAGGCCACGTACTGCTGGGCTAGAATTTAGATTCCCGTATGCAAGCCCAGTGCTTAGCCCTTTGATTTCTCTCTTCAGTCCAAGGTTTGATTTTCTTAAAAAATACATTGAAAAAGTTTCTGTTACTAGAACTTTATTTGAGAGATTATCCTATGGAATACTAGAGGACTCATTCCTGCAGAAGACCTATAGGTATAGAATTTTTATGGCATACAATCTTGTTATTCAATACCACAAACTGTCAAGATGTGCTTGAAAAGCTGCTAGTCTGAATTTAGGTGGGGATATGAAACACAGACAATATTGTAAAATATCAAGCTAATATAATTTATGTTGATTATATGCTAAAATATTGAGTGCATATATGATTATATAAAATGTTTTATAATTAATTTAACTTATTTATTTTGACTATTTTTTTGTTATGACTATTACAAGCCTGAGATTACACAACAGCTCACATTAAACCACTTCTAAGGAGTGTTAGAACAGAGAATGTCTCAGAATGATCAACAAACCCTTTTTCATCATCGACTGAGGGTTGCTCCACAGATATTAACTAACGAGTGCTTTGAGTCTGCTTTCATGGCCAGAGGTAAACATCCAGCAGAGAGTCACAAGAACCTAGAAGCTGTTGGTCTTGTCATGCCAGCTGTGCATGTCAAGAGAACATAATTGGGAACTGATGATGGTTCTTAGACTCTCCCTTCCTACTACCTCTTTCATTCCTGCCCCTGACTTTTGGTTGATTCCCCCTCAGTTCCTCTTTCTCTCTAAATCGATTGTCCTAGTGAAATAAAGACAATCTTAAGAATCAGATATTTGGAGAGAAAAATAGTGGACCACTACTGGAGGTTTGGTAGTTACTATGGTGTTGTAACACTTACCCTTAAAATGGAAAAATTTACACCTTTGCAAAACTACCTAAACAAGTGAGGACCACAGATTTGTAGCATACTATAAATTAAATGTTAATATTCATAGTGAAAAATGAAAGAATAGGCGAATCTATAACGATTGCTCCAATGAACTATGATAAAAAAAAGGAACTGATAGCATAAATGGTAAAGGGAGGGGGAATGAACAAAATTTAAAAAGAGAAACATCATTTAAAAGAAACATCACCTAAAAGATTGGCTACCCCTAAATTTAAAAAAAACACTCAATAGAGCTTTTGAGGGTGTGGTTTTCGCTTGCAAGGAGTTTTTAATTAAAAAGAATATGGGCAGGAGCGATAGTACAGTGGGTAGGGAATTAGCATGTGGCTGGCCTGGGTTTTCTCCCCCTGCAGCCCAGGTGGTGCTCTGAGTCCCACCAGGAGTGATTCCTGAGTGCAGAGGCAGGAGTAACCCCTGTGCATTGCCAGGTGTGGGCCCAAAACTGAAAACAAACAAAAATCTCCTTGTATTTAAACAGAATATTACATAGAACTAAGATCACTAAGATTTTTTTTTGCAAATAAGACACTTCATTTTTTATTCTTTAAAAAATTTTTACTAAGTCACTAAGAAAGTTATTCAGACTAAGATACCTCTTTTAACTTGGACTCTAGTTCCATTTTATGCCTAGATTAGTGTGATTGTTAGAGGAAATGAACTTCTTATAGTAGGAATTTACTATTTTGCCCTTACAATACCTGGTAAAATAAAAGAGTGATGATTTGCTGAATGTTTACTATGGCAAGAAATATTTTATTATTATTAGATTTTAGTCCACCCCCACTGGTGCTCAGGTCTTATTCCTAACTCTGAGCTTAGGGATCACTCCTGGCAGGGATCACAGATGCCACTCATGGCTGTATTCAAGGGAAACTCCCTACCCACTGTGCTGTCACTCCCGCCCCCCTAAAAATATTTTAAGCACAATATTTCATTAAATCTCAAAACAACTTTGGTAGGAGTTATTGCTTCCAGAGGTGTAAACCAGAGAATCCAGAGAAAAGGCTCTGTCCAAAGGCAATGCATAGTGGTATTAAGTTGGAGTTCAGGTATATTGATTCATGAATTCAAGCAAATATTTTGTAGCTATCTAGTCCAAAGTATATGTTTTCAACTTCTTTGTTACCTTATCTTTTGAGTAGTATTCAACTTAGTTTCTGATAATTAGACTTAAATACTATATCATCTGTATCACTGTATCACTGTCATCCCATTGTTCATCGATCTCCTCGAGCAGGCACCAGTAACATCTCCATTTATCCCAGCCCTGAGATTTTAGCAAGTACCACATTGGAGGCTCTTTCAGGGTCAGGGGAATGAGACCCATCATTGTTACTGGGTTTTGGCATATCGAATACACCATGGGGAGCTTGCCAGACTCTGCTGTGTGGGCAAGATACTCTTGGTCATCTGTACAAAGTGTATTTTCCAGACATACCACAGCAATATTTTCAGGACCTAAATCCTCTTCAGAAGCTTACTGGGACCCATCCAGAGACTGAATTTATTTTCTATTTACCTGAGTATGAGTGAACTTTTGAATGACTCTTCCTAAGAAGAGAGTTTGGTTAAAATGGTGCTATGAATCCCCTGAGTCTGTCTTAAATAGGATATAGCTCTCTCTCTCTGACTCACTCTCTCAAGACACCACTTTGGAAGGAGGGAGACTGGTGCAGTTAGGAGGTTCAGGCCTTACAAGGAGCATTCTTTACAAAGAGGCATGGCTAAAGTGATTCAGAAAACTACCCTAGTGAAAATCTCAGCAGAGTACTGATATTAATCATTAGCAAAATAAATGAGTGAAGAAATCTTCATCTAATTCCAGTCCCTAGTTGTTCAGTTTCGTGTTGAAGTTTCAGACCTTGTGATGGAGGATGGTCATGGCACACTTGCTGTGCTTTGTCTATTCCTGACCCACAGATAGACATGCAAAAGTGTATTCATTAGCCACCAAGTTTGGGGGCTGAGGTAAGGAGTTTGACTTGCATACATCTGATTCCAACTCGAGCCCTGGCACCAGTTTTGGACTTCTAAGTCCTGCCAGGAGTTATCACTGAACACAGAGTGAGGAATAAGTCCTGAGCACAGCCTAAAACTACCTGCTTCTAAAAATAGTTTGGTGGCTGATTCCTTATTCAACTCTCTTAACCAAAAGGTCATGTTTCATTTTTATCTGCTCTATCAGGATGCTCAAAGTCAAGTTTTAGTGCTAAAATTCAAAAACTGCATTAGCTATAAGATTTAGCATGATTATTTTATATTTTATGATCTTAAGTATACATTTCTATGCTATTAACCTTATTTGTCTTTCTTGTCAAAAATATGAGATTATATAAGCGATAAAATCATTCTTGTCTATGTTTTAAGATCAAAATCATAAATTCGATACCTGAATCTTCTTTCATGTCAATGTCTTCTTCATTAATATCATCTATTAAAAAATAAGAAAGTACAAAAGTTAGAAATTGAAGCACCAGAATGCTCCAATTTGACTAATTTAAAATTAAACCCAAACAAAACTCAGTAGAAAGGAGAATGTTAAATTCTGTTTATCTTACCTTATATTATCGTGTTATTAAAGGAAGAAATCTTGCATACTTGAGTACAACTTCACATGGTTTACATTTTTTAAAAATATTCTTTATTTATAGTAAAAACCAATGTTGTAACTAATTTTATTTCTGAAAGATGCTTCTTTAGTCATTTCAATTCTAAAGACATAAAAATCACACAATAAAAAAACTACCTGTTTTTTCAGTATTTGCTTAATCACATATGCTCACCTTAAATGTCTGAGAAGCTTGGGCAAATCGCCATTCAATTTTGGGTTGATACATTGAATTCCTGCAGGCACCATGGGGAAAATGCTAGTTTCCTACACTTAAAAATCCAAAACCTTGAGCCAAGTGATTTCTGATGCTTCTGCTAGCTGCACCCATTTCCATTAACTCCTCTCTTTGCCTTTCTCAGAGTTATCCCATTTAACTCATAAAGACAAACATTTCCTGGTATTAGACTAGAGAACACAGCTTCATTGGGGAATTGGGTAGTTCCCGGACAGTGTTGGGGTGCCCATGAGCCACTCCCATCAGTTTTTAGCACATTAGGCATGTGGTTCAATATGTGAGCCCAAAGACGGGTTGTTGCTTGGAACCTTCAGTTCTGGGGACCACCAGAGTTATTCTGATAGTGTTCAAGGACATATCTGCTTTCCTAAACTTTTAACATGCCATCCTTGCAGAAAATATTGCTCACAGTGTCAAATTATCTTATTCCATGTTTTCTCTTCTCAATTCACATTATTGCAACCCAAATTCATGTACACAGTGTCAGCCATCTTTATTTTGTGACTTCCTAACTTCTCTCCACTTATCCCCACTTATAATTCATCATTTTTGAACATATTGCTCTTAAGTCTATCTTATAATCAAACTCTAAACTAATTTACAACCATTTTGTGATTCTACGTCCCTAATGCAAAGAGTTTAGGTTTGGTGGGTGGGTCAGTCAGGCTCAAGGTAAATGACGTACAGTTGTAATCACTTTTATGTCTTCATTATTCTTAGTCGCTCCACTATCCCACTACTGGAAGGTATCACTGGATTGTTTTCTATTTTTTAAGGAAGGCCTTTGTTTTTAAGTTTAGATTTCTGTTGCAATTTCAGAAGTGAGTTTCTTCTCCATACCTCTTCAAACTCAACCTTCCAGGCCATGCTGAGGCACCATAACACTTGCTTCACCCAATTTTGGGAAAACAGTTGTATATACCTTATTTATAATGTTTTATGAATGTAAATTTTAAGAACTTCAGGGTGTAGTCTTGAATATTAGCTTCTCCAACCCCGATTAAATAGGTCTATGGTCTTAAAAAAGTTAGTTATTCCTGGGTTTTAAATTGATGACCTATAGAATAGAATGATCAATAATGTCCCTCCTATATAGAGTTGTGTATGGATTAATGAGATTTTGTTACAGAAAACAGGAGGATATCTACTGGAACAACATTATATAATAAATATTAGCTATTTTACTATGAAATCTCATAGCCTTGTTAATTGCTGGAATGTTGTTTTATGGGTCCTTCTCTAAATTACGAATTCTTCAATGATAAAAAGATTTTGTTTTTGTTTTGGAACCACACTTGCAAGTGCTTAGGGAATATTCCTGACTCTGGGATCTGGAAATACTCCTGAAGGCCTGGGGAACCATACAGGGTTCCAATCAGCTGTGTGAAAGGCAAGTGACCTACCTACTATTCTATCAGTCTGACCTCAAGAGCATATTTGATATTCTTTTATATCTCGTATTATAATTGATGCTATATGCTAAATTCAATAAATTTCTTTTTTTTGCTAAATTTCCATTATTCTATATGTATCTCCATATATGAGGACACCATTTACCTGTGTAAAATTCACAAATAAAGGAGAGAGTAAAAGTTTGCAACTTCCTCTGTTGCAAACTATTTGTAATTTAATAATTTTAGCCAAATTAATTCAAAATGGCACTCTGCTAAGAGAAAGTCATTAATAATTATTAGAGAAATATTAGTTTAAATGGAAAATGCATTTTATTTAAGGTTTTAAAAGGCAATTCTTGATGATCATAGCTAACTTTTAAGATATTAAGTTTTCTTCCATTCAAATATATCAGAATCATTAGTGATTTTCTATATATATTTTGTTCTTTCCATGAATGCAGTTTTGGCAAGAAAAATACTTATTTCTTAGAAATGTAATTTCTCAAGCAAATCAGTATCATGATGTTAAAAAGTAAACTTTTCACAGATTCTTCCCTGACTTTACTATATTTAAACAGAATTTTGATTTCTAGAACCATGTAACATCTCTATGACAACAGACTCTTGGAAACATGGGAGGGATGAAAAAGAGAATCTTTAGGGTTTCTAGGGAAAAATAAAGGAAGAATCAAAGATTACTTTCTTTGTGTATCTACACATTCATGTATCTACACATCCATCTGGCAGACACTCATTGGAACTTTATGGAGAGTGAGTTTTTGCACGTGGGTTAATAATAACCAAGATAAATCCATCACTTTAGCAATTGTCTAGAAATTTGGTAAGGAAACAAAGATGCAGATGAATTTGAATGAGTAGTAGAGGGTAGTCAGTGGTATTACAAAAGGTGTCAGAGAGGAAATATATACTTCCAGTCTGGCTAGAGAAAGCAGTGGAAAGTGCAAAACTAGAGTTGACATTTGAACATTACAAACTATACCAATAGAACCTTCCTCAGAATGGCTTCCATGTGTTGAAAGATAACACTTAAGATATTCATTCATTCATTCATTCATTCATTTATCTCTATCTGTAGAGTATTTATAAGCTAACCCAGGATTTGAACTAAAACTCTTTGGCTTACTTTCAAAGTTAATTTTGTAACGATGACAAATTATGCAGAGCTCTAACTTATTTTCCATATGTAGAAAATAGGGAAAATAAAAAAGCACGATGTTCAAAGGCTTTAAACATCTAAAGTGCTTACACAGAACAAACATTCTATGAACACTATTACACCCAAAATGACTTCATTATTGCTGTATTTACCATTTACATCACCATTTGGTGACCCTGACCACGTGCCAGAACTGTAAACAGCCATGAGGATACAGGCTGACAAAGAACTGGGAGATACATAAAAGTAAGACAATAATCTGAACCAGAGGTAACAGCTTCTCTGAAATCCTACTGGGAAACAGACAAGAGGCAGCAAAATCAGAGTGAAGGTTTATAAGAGCTTTCCTGAAGAGGTGAGGCTTAAGTGAAGTGTGAAAGGATGCACTGAGTTAACTAAGGGAAGGGAAGGTTATAACAGAATTCTAGCAGATATATTTGCTCTTCCCATATCCCCTGCTATAACACTTCAGACTTGGAGCATTATCCATTTATCAGTCCTTAGATTTCTCTGGGTTGCTACAGCCTACATAGGGAATTAATACACCTCAAAAGATAATCTTTTACAAGTGACTGGTGGGATTTGTGTTAAGTACTTCAGTCCCCTTGCTTGTCAGGTGAGCTAATTCAGAAGCATGTTCTACACTAGAGCTCAGATAACCCCAATCCCATCCCATCAAGGGCACTGTCAGTTTTCTGGTGGTAATGGGATCATAACAACCTCACTGTCTCTTTTCCTTCCTTGCCTCTCTTCCCAACTTCCCTGCTGGTATTCCTGGGTTCACCTTCCAAATGAATGACTTTTACTAGAATTCTTGTTTCAGGCTCTGCTATGGGGGTGGGGAATGATGGATGAAACATTCAAACTAAGGTAAGGATAATTTAAGGGTAATTATACTTAAACAGAGGATAAAACAGTTGCTAAAACACCATATATTTGAATGGGCAATGGTTTTAATCCTGTTGAAGAAATAAAACAATCTCTGAATGGTTGAAGAGAAGAATTATGGAAGAAACAAAAGGAAAGTGACATGTCTGATTAGATAATAAAAATTGTCCATACCAGCTATGATGACGTTTGGGTATCAACATGACTAGGCCATGGAGTGCCCTCACTTTTGCCAGATGAGTGATTATAAGGCTGACTCTGAGTAATGTTGGCACTTAAATTGGTAGATTGAGTAAAAACAATTTGCTGTCTTGAATGTGAGTGAGTCAGTCAGTGTAAGTCTGATCCTTGTGTAAATAAGGAATGCCTCTTACTAGGTTACTTTGTGCTAGCTCATATATTTCTTATTTTTGAACTAAAACTTAAAAACATCAATTCTTCTTGACTCCCAAACCGCCAGCCACTTGGATTGAAACTATACCAATGACTGTCCTGGTTCTTAGACCTTAACCTACTAGAACTACATGATTAGCTCCTCTGGAACTCCAGCTTTCCAAATGCAAATCTTGGGACTTCTTTTCAGCCTTCCATAAATGTGTGTATGCTAATTGCTTACAATAAATCATTTTCCAATAGCAATATGCTACCTGTATATGGATTATATGTATTATTATTGGTAATGTAATGTTATTTGTTTTGCTTCTCTGGAGAATTTTGATTTATAGAAGTTGAAATATTTTCAAGCCTTATCCTGAAAATTGAGCAACATTGAGCAGAGAAATAACACCAGCTTCTGAATGATAACATTTTTCTCATGAGAGATATTTACTAAAAATCAACCTTACAAAATGCAGGTCTTACTATTTTGGTACTATTTGTATAAAAATCAAGCAGAGTGCTTCTGCTCTGCACAGTACCTGATGTGCTATTACTTATTAATGAAATTGGCTTTGGTTCAACATTATTCTATATAATGTGTTTGGCTGAGCCATATGTATGCAGCAAATTCCTCATCAGAATTTCTTTCTCTAACAAAATCAGGAACCAAAAGGATGATATATAAAAGACGAGAGCCTCTGAAACTCAGGAGTCAGACTATTCGAAATTTGGAAGCAGTTAGGAGACT